ACAATTGGTGGCTGACTAAATACTTTTTTGCCCCACTGTATGAACGTACACATATCAAAGATAAAAGCATGACGAAAACATATTTGGTATATTTTGTTCTGGTTTAATAATTCCGCCACTGATTCCTGATGCTGAATGTATTGACATTTTGACCCAAGAAAATTCTCTAAATGGACATGAAATCCAACAAAAATCCAAGACTCAAAATGGACTGGAGTATACAAGATTTAGAATGGATTGTCAAACAAATTGGCAATTTTTACCCTTTCCACCCAATTGTTAAACCTGGTCGCAACTTGCAGCTTAACTCTGGCACAAAGCTTTGTATTCAGTTCAGTGAATATACTTCTGCTGACTAAATGAGTCATTCCAATAAAATGCCAATGTGTTCGTCATCCTTAACAAGGAGACAGTGTTCAGAGCTGAGGAATGTTAAACATTGAACAGTCTGCAGAGCCATCTGACTGCTCAAGGTCGTGAGCGTTTCAAAGAGACTAACACTGCGGACTCAGCACCTGAAGGGATGCATTTTTAAACTCATGGTCTCAACGGCTTCTTTAGCTCATATCAGAAAGTCTGTCTAATCTGAATCACATTATGACTCCGAAAGTGTCAAATGTTTTTTTTTTCTCCATTGAGATTTGGTTCAGAATATTTGCATTTGACAACCATCCATTTCTCCCGTACCCTAAACGTTGCTTGTTGCACTTCATGGCTCAACTTGTGATCTGTGTCCTGCTGAGTGTGAAGCCGCAAGGTTGTTTAATCTCGCTCATTTTCTCAGTGAGAAAATCAAGGTGACTGTGCAGCTGAAGGTCAGTAAGAGGAATGTGGACTAAGAGAAATAATTTACATTGCTTTAGCCATCATAAAATCAGAATTGACCCTGTTTACTTTCTAAATGCACATTTACAGTATTATTGTGCATGATGCATCAGTGAACTTTATTCCGAACAAAAAGAAATGCAAAAACATTATACTGAAATGTGTTTCCTTCATTGCTGATATCACCAAAACTCTTTTTTAACCTCTCCAACCGCCTGTTATATAAAACGTTTACACAGTCCAATTAATGTCAATGGATAAAATAGTCTTGCCTTGCTTATATAATATTTCTCTTATTTTTGTTTGTATGACTGTAAAATAGCTCTTATTGCAATGTTTCTCTCAGGTTATGGACATGGTTACATTTTTCTTTCATATTGTTCAGAATGTCTAGTAGATTTGTTTTTGTTGTTTTTTTTCTTTCAGTATTTCAGTGCAGTAACTTCACTCACAAATCAGTTTTTTCCGCAACTTCTGCTAACACACAAGCTGAACTGTTGCTTTCAGCCTATGAAAGGAACACAGGAGCGCTGCTCAACTCTTTCTTCCTGCAGGGACGCCTCTGTCATCAGCTTCACTCGTCTCAGTCTTGGTCAACAACTGAATTAATGGCTGCGGGTGTCTCAAAGATGACATTTTCAGGTTGATTTTAGCCATGGCAAAAACAAAGTTTGAAATAGCAGGCTTTAAAAGTTGTTTGTGACGTGATGTCTTTTGTAAACAGGAAAACTCTGTTATTAGTGGATCCTTGACGTGCCTCTCTGTCTCTCTCATGTTCTTTGTTGGCCTGGAAATGGGTCTTCTGTTCCCTGTTATAGCTCGGGGGAGACCTGGGAGGAGGTGTTGGGGGCAGTCCTGCAGTAAGTGAGCTCCTCTCTCTCCGCTCGTATCCGTCTGTCTGCACTCAGCATGTTGTGTGCTATTTATATGATTCTTAATCGCCTGTGTAGAGTAGGCACCTAGCTGTGTGTTCTGCTTTGTTTCTTTCTTTTGCATGCACAAAAATCCATCCTGCTTTGAGGTGATAAGTTCTTGATATGATGAACTTCTCTAAAGACTTCTGTTTAACATAACCTGCTTTGTCATTTGTCTTTAAAGTATTGGTGTTTTTTTT